AAGGCAGGTGTGGTCTAGAAGATGAGGCTGCTGGGTCTTGTCCTGTGTCTGGTCACAGCTCTGCAAGGTGAGTGTCCCCAGTGTCAGACCTGGGTCCATGGGGAGGTTGTGACTACAGGTGACTAACAGGGTGTGTCTGTCCTTGTCCTCAGGTGTCCTGTGCCAGGTGCAGCTTCAGGAGTCAGGACCTGGCCTGGTGAAGCCCTCGCAGACCCTGTCCCTCACCTGTGATGTCTCTGGTTACTCCATCACCAGTGGTTACTGTTGGAGCTGGATCCGTCAGCCCCCAGGGAAGGGGCTGGAGTACATAGGGCACATAGATAGTGGTGGTAGCACTAACTACAGCCCATCCCTCAAGAGCCGAGTGTCCATCTCCAGAGACACGTCCAAGAACCAATTCTCCCTGCAGCTGAGCTCCCTGTCCACTAAAGACATGGCCACCCATTACTGTGCCAGACCCACACTGAGGGGACCTCAGTGTGAGCCCAGACACAAACCCCCCTGCAGGTTGCCCAGGGCCAGCAGTGGGCGCTCAGCACACAGGGAGCTCAGGTCAGCAAGGAGCAGGTGCAGAGGGAGGAGAGAGCTGTCACCTCAGACCCTGAGGTTCCTGCCCACCCAGCACCTCCCTGGCTCCACCTTGCATGGAGATTCTTGAGGTCCCTCCTCTGCCAGACCCTCTGAAGCTTTTCCTTCTCTGGGTCAGGGTTGTCTGAATTTCTCACTCTGAGCACAGACTTCTCATCCATATGTCCTTGTGAAGCTAATTATTTTACAATGACATTTCCCACATGGTGACTTTTATTTGAACTTTATAAACATATCTTTCTAGTACTGTGGATTGAACACAAGACGTGGTGGCCCTGAGCTCCTTCCCAGCCCTGTTTGTGTCTTAGTTTGAGTCATGTTCCCCTAAGATGCCCAGACTGCCCTTGAAATAGTTGTCCTCCTGCCTTGGCCTCCTGAGCACCTGGGTTACAGGGGAGCTCCACCATGTCCAGGTCAGTTTTCTGAACCTCTGCTGCCATGTTGTATCCTCTCATGCTCAGGTGAGTCCCTGTCACCTTCCCATGACTCCTTCCCATTCCCAGTCCACTCTCTGTCTTCCTGTGATAGATCAGGTCATCATATACATGCCATCCTGAAACCCAAATAGTGGGAGGAACTTTCACCACGGGGACCTTGGCAATGTTAGGAACAGGGTTGTTCAAGTAAAACAGTTGTTAGAGGTCACTGAGGCTGCCACACCTCCAGCCATCAGAGCACAGCATGGCAGCAAGGGATTCTCTGTCCCAAGTGCCCATGGACTGTGCTGAGGAACACTGACAGAAAGCCTTAAACCTTGTTAAACCCACAGAAATGTGTATGTTCACAGTGAACTTTGGTGGATGTGAGCCTTCTCTCTCAAGATGAGGCTCTGTGACACCCACACCCACACCCAGGCCCCAAAGGCAGAGGTGCCCACCCCTCATGCAGCTGTGTGTGGCCTGTGGACAGGGGTGACCTGAGCAAGGTGCTGAAGGAAAAGGGGCTCCCTTGGCAAAGACCCAGGAGGGAGTGTGGTCAGCTCAGCATGGACTGTGGAAACTGCAGGTCAGCTCTGCCACTGGCCTCTGTACCCTGAAGGCATTCTGTGCCCAGGTGCACTCTGGCCCCATCTCGCTGAGAGGTGACCCTGAGCCTGAGAAGTACCAGGACACCTGGCTACTGGGGGGAGGCAGCTTGGTGCCTGCCTGTGTTTCCAGCCACTGAGGCTGAACTGCAGGTCACAGACAGGGATGCCCTGGGCTCTGTCCCTGCTATGTCAGCACCCACCCTGTCCTGAGAGTGCATCTTCAGTCTGGGTGAAGATGAGCAGTGGCCATTTTTATATCCCAAGTAATAATAAGTTAATCCAGATTCATTCCAGAAAATGAAAACTTTTGTATGTTTTCAGTATATGTTTTTAGAGCTATAGTACTGATTTTGTATTATACATTTGTAAGTTGCCAAGTTAGAGTGTTGTGCTTTATAACCATTTGTGCTCCTTATATTTCTGTCAATAAAACTTCCAACATCTTCTTTATTTCAATATTTTATTTGTGAGTATAATTGTGCAAAATGTGTGGTTAATTTTGATGTATTCATGGATACATTAGCAAATATTATAGCAGAGACGTTGCTTCCTGCCTATAATTCCTACCTGGTATCATCTCTTTGAATTATTATCTATTTTTCTTCATATTAAACATAAAAATGTTTTTATTTGCTGTATGCCTCTGTAGCCTGAGAAATATTGTAATAATAATTTAGCATTTTACATTTTTTTTGTACTTTAGTGAACAATAATAGATATTACAACTAAATATAGACACAATTGTACCAATGTCTGTTTTCCCCTGTGGTCTAGACTGTCTCCTTTGCCTCAGTGAAACCCCAGGTCTTGCACTGGGGGCCTTGCTCAGCTCCCTCCTGAGGCCTGGGGGGTCCTGGGGTCACTTCCCTTTAATACAAAGCCCCGTCCCTTGTACAGACTCTGTGTCTGATTGCTTAAGATCACTTTTTTGATTATGATATTTGTACAAAGTTAAGAAAATAACATTTAGAGATTTACAGTTGAATATGTGTTGAAAAACCTGATTATGAATTGATGTGTTCTATGCAGTTGTCTTTCTCATGTGAGGGTGTTACATCATCAACATCTCTAAGAATGTCAGCATCTCTCTCCATCAGACACAGAGTGGTGAATCCAGCTGTATTTTCACACTTACACTGAAACCTAGCTCTAGTGAGGCAG